CGTGGCAGGACGTGCTGGAGGACCTGGTGGCTCTGCTCCTGTGCTGCTGAGCTGCAGCCACGCAGCGCTGCTCTGCCGTGAGGATCAGCACACCACGGAGCCATCTCCATGTCCAACAAGTTGCTTGCTTCTGCCTTACAAAGCCCCAGCCAGACTTGGGTGTAAGGAAGACTATGAGGCTCTGTAGCATGAAACAGCACAAAACATCCACAGACATCGCTGTCACAAAGTGTCTTCTAGCTCTCTGCTCTTCCTCTCCTTATTGTCCCTGCTGGCACATCGCCAGGCAGGCGTGATCCTGATCTGCTGCTTGTTTGTCTTGTGCAGCTGATCTAGCCTTTGTCTGAGACACTTGGGTTTTAGTGCTCTGTAACTGATTCCTTTAGCACACACCACTCCAGGAGATGATTCCAGTCAAATTCACACCAGCTTTGGCTAGATTCCCATTCACCCATGTCTCAGGGGAGTTCCACGTTAAGAATAACAATGTTCAGGGTGAGGATTGCACAGGAGAACAGGGCTGTGCCACAATATTACGAAGTAGCAGTGATGAAAGTGTGCAAAGATAGGCACGTATTTTCATGTCATTCACAGTGCTGTCTTCTACTACTGCTATTACAAATGAGAGCGATAAGGCCTCAAGAGCGTGTTGTTATTCTTGGAAACAAAGATCTCTTCTCAGGCCATTTCCTGTCTTTTGCGAGGAAAGGAAAAGCATTTGACAAGGCTTTTTGCGAATTAAGCTGGGAAAATTGAGAAAAAAATGTTCACTGACTTCCATCTCTATTTATGCTTTAGACACTGGTAATTACTTTAGGAATCATTTGTGATAAAAGCGTTGATAGTGCTTCCTTTTATCAATAAAACTACATTGCTAGGACTGACTTTGCATTGTCTATCAATGTGAGCCGAGGATGCAAGTTACAAAAGTCAAAGGTAACTGTTTTTTCAAAACGTTATCTAGCTTGAACAAAGAAAACAGAAAAGGAAATGTGTACGTGTACGATATCTTTTGAAAATTCTTGCCAAATGAACCAAATGCTATGCTTATAAATTAACCAGAATATTTTTCAGAGTTTATTTTTATATATTATAGACATATTTAATAATCTGTATTTTTGTAATTTAAACAGACTGTAATGTGCAGATCTTAAATTTAACCATGCAATCAATTGCTAAGAAAAACAAGGCATTTTAATTTTTTTAAGCCTTTCATAAGTAAAATATTCCCCAAGATCAGGTTTTGGTACAGCATGAGCACCCCTGCTGTCATGCTGCTCTAAGTGTCTGGAGCGATCCTTTCATTTAAAACTGCCCAGGAGCTCCTCAGCAAACTTGCTGGATTGTGTTGTTCTTCATAAAGTATTTCTGAATGTCTTGCTTTTATTACAATGCTCTCAAAGGGTCAGAAAGAAGCTTGGCAGCCACGTAGTTAAGAACACTGATTTCTCTGGAACTGCTCTTTCTTGGGTGTTTCCAGTGCTGTGGATATAGCAGAAAGGAGTCTGGAGGAAATCGTGGCACTTAACCAACGCCACCATTGCAAATGTCGTACTGGCATGCTTGGAGCGTGATTCATTAACTCAGTATCTTGCTTGGAGCGTGTGAGGTTTTAAATGGAAAGTCTGATTAGAGTGCATTAGTTTGGATGTTCAGTGTGTGTGGGGGGGAAAAAGAATCTGTTGTCAAATTTATTACTGAAATGTGTGTGACTAATAAGGAATAGTAGCTTTCCGTACGATTTGCTGAATCACTTGTCAAATTCCTGTTTGCTGAATCTCCAAGTGTAGAATAACCAATCATTATTTCATTTGATTAGGAAAAAAAATCTTTAAATTAGAACATGTATCTCGAAACCTTGTCAAGGACAAATTGATCTTTTTTTATTCTAACTAAATTAAAAAAAAAAAGCTGGAAGGCATTTGCTGTATCAGAAGATTTTAAAGTCTGTTAAAGGAAACGAGTTTGCGGAAGTTGAAGATAGTACAGGGTTTGAGGAAACTGCACGCTTCCTGTATGACTTCGAGCAGATCACTTAACCGAACTGTCAATTTTTTTAACCTTAAAGTGGGGATAATAATGACATGTAGGTAGTTGTGGTAGAGTTTGCTACCTTTCTTTGTTGCTTTGTGTAAAAATGAGGTTTTGGAAGGCAGAAATCATCCTTTGAGTGCAAATGATGTGCAAAACCAGAAGTGCTCTCAATAAATATTGTATCTTTCATCATGTATAATTCTCTCTCCACTAGCAAATATATGTATGTGACAACACAGCGAGAACTGAGGGGTTACAAATGTATTTAGAAAATGGTTACAAGTGAGATCTGCAAAACACAATGAACCTGTGTACATCAGACTGTCACACGACATCAGTTCCTTGGTTCTGCTGTGTAGTAGTCCTCAGTAATGCCCGTTGTACATCTCATTGCTCGTTCCTGTAAATGAGCTTCACAAAAACGTAGCAAGGTACAAGCAGTATGAGGTCTTCCTGCTCATGCTTACTGCTCTTGTATGTACTTTGGCCAGCTTGAGGTTTATTTTACAGGGAAGACAAATTTGGAAGGAAGATGGATGGCTCCTGCAAAAATTAAAATTACGCTGTTGATTAACTGCAAAGTGGTTTAAAAACTTGAGCTGGAGTTACTTTTATCTGATATGCTTTAGATTTCGGGTTCATCCTTCAGCCCCCACATCCACCTGTGTTATGTTAAATTAACCTGGCGTGTTGCTTTCCTAGGGTTATGGGTCACTGCCAGTATTAGGTTTCAAGCAGGCCAGCTGTTCCCAGATCCAGTCCCTTCCTACACTCCAGCGAAGTCAGAGGCAGAGCAGAGGGAAGCACACAACCAGAGGACGAGGGAGGCTGCAGGCAGGAAGTGCAGTGTGAAGACAGCCAAGTAATTCTACTTCCAGCTTCACTGTTAAAAATTTCCACATATTCCTTGCTCATTAGCAAAATGTTTAAAAATGTAGTGTTAAATTGCAGTTGCTCCTTGGGACTGTTTTCTTAAACTCTTAATTACAAAAGCAAGCTTGAAATCAGGAACATTTCAAGCCTTTAGCAAGGAAGATGCAGCGTCTCAGTCACATGGAGAGTTTAAGGGAAATGGGAATGTACAAAAGGAACCGAAATCCACATGGAATCTCCCCCTGCCACCCAGCAGTTTCACAAATGTGTTTGTTTTTAAATGTCACAGTGCGGTGACTGAGGTTTTGGAGAAGCCTAGCATGGATGGCAGAGGTCTGATCTCGTGAATGTTGTCAGAGCTAATGGCAGGAGGTGGCTGTCCTGGCCTTCAGCTGCACTGCCCTGCTGGCCTGGTGCTTCACGCTTGCTGGCCACGATAGGTAGGAGCGTGGTGGCAGAGCTGAGCACTGCCTGTGCCCCCGGTGAAATGTCGTGCCACCATTCTCTGCTTCAAGAGCTTTTGTGTAGAGAAGGATGCTATCCAGAAGGTTAAAGCTGTGCAGTGTCCCTAGGTTCATCTTACAGCCAAGCACCCCTCTGTAACAGCAGGCATTTGGGGCTGCAGGGAACAGTGCCTGGAGTGCTGGCAGGCTGAGGGGTTTTGTGATTTTGAAGGCTATAGAAGACTGTTGGACATCCTACGAGATAATTGCAATTTGGGACCTTTTTGCTTCTCTTGAGTAAGGTCTGGCTTGTCTGGTGGAGGCAGAAAGGTGCTACGACACTTCCTTGCTGCACTTGCTTCAGAGACCTGCTGCTCTGACAGAGGAAAACATTGGTTGGTTTAGTGCAAGATGCAGAAAACCAAGCAGCGCTGCTTGTAAGCAGATTCTTCCTGACCTTGGTGGTTTGTGGCAGGCTGCTCTTCTGAGATCGGAGCTCTTCTAACAGGCTGCTGCCACTGCGTTAAGTTAAATCTAATGTTTGATTCCACGTGGGACAGAACGTGTGGCTTCTGGTGAGGTGCTGTAGGGTTACCTGGCAATACCAGCCCTTTATTTTTGCAGTTTGAAGCCATACCTGTGTTTGAGTAAAACATCCTCCTTGCCAAAAAATAATACAGTGGAAAGGCATCTCTTCATCTTAGTAGATTGCTATGTTATTTATTTTGCAAGGTGGCTTGTAAGGAGAACAGCCTGTTCCAGCAGCCAGCTGGGCTCTGCGTTCAAATCCCCGGTCTCTACAGCTGTGTCATGGGCTTGTGCAATGGTCTTCAGCAAATTGCTTGTCCTGAGGAAAAGCGAGGCATGGGGGGTAATACCTAAAGCATATTGGATTCTGATGAAGGGCATTGTGTAAAGGCTAAGAACTGTTATTTAAACAGGCTGTAATTAATGTAATTAAGAGTCTTGCCCCAAAAGGCATGTCAGGAGATGTTCCTTGTCACTTAGCGTGTAGCTGACAGCTCATATTTTGGAACTTTTGTAATACCATAATGTGTGCGCACACACAGTGTGTGGGAGAGAAGGGTTTGTGGAGGGACCCAAAGTACTGAATACCTCCCCAGAGACATAAGCAGCTGGCTTCACAAGCACAGTCAGAAACTAGAAGAGGTTTGTCTGGTGAGTCTGAATGAAAATCAGGATGAACATCAGTTGTTAGAATGTGTCAATCAAGGGCATATTGGTAAATTCCATGCAGAGAGAAATTTTAATTTAGAGCTAATGTACTGTCAGTAATCAAAAAGATCCTATTCAGCTGAAAGTGCTTCAGATTTCATACTATGGGAAACCAATAATTATGAGATACAGTGAATAATACAAGGTAGAATTGCTAAAGGGATTAATTAGACTTAGACTAACTAACCACTATAATTGATGCAAATATACATCTGTAGCCTGCTGAGACATTAGATAGTCGTCATACACCTGCTCAATTTAGCAGAGCTGCAGAACACAGCTGTCACAATCATTTCTGTTTTATTCTGGAAAATTCTATTCTATTCTTCGTATCTGGAAAAGAGCTCCTTGAACATAATTGGCTATTTGTTCTTTTGTTGTTCAAAATATTGCCTTTTATCTTTTTCTAAACAGCACTTCCACGATGGCAGAAAGGCACAACAGCACATTGAAACTTGCTGGAAACAACTTGAAGCCGTAAGTGGAAATTTCCTCAGATGTGACACTTAAATCATTTTTATACCGTTTTTCATAGAGATGGTTCCAAACTTTGTATTTAGAATATGAAAGGTGTGTGGATAAAAGCTGAAGAAATGTGATTTTTAGAACTTTGCTGTTTTAAATGCACTGGTAGGTATGAAAAAGGTCTGTTTAAATAGTACATTTGGCTTTCCATGGGATCTATGTGTAGTGTGAGTAGTGTTTCATTTGATACAACTTGAAAAGTGTGCCAAGAGTTGCTTGAAATGCATAGTCCCTAAGGATGCTATTCAGATATTCCTCCATAAGCTGAATAGTTTCACCCTGCATGAATAAATCAAATGTGACCATCTCTTCAGTAAGGTGCTGCTTCTCAGAAGCAAATACACTGGAATTTGTGCTCAGCATTCATCACATGAACCAGTGAGAAATTTTAGGTGGAGGAGAGGATAACGAAAGGGGATAAAGGTAAATGACAAATCCTACTTACAAATAGCAGTGAAATTGGTAGAGTGAAGCAGTCTGAAGAATGGAAGAAAAAAGATGTGTTTATGGTAACTGTTATTAAGTTCTTTAATGTGGAAATGTATTGCAATGTAAACAAGCTAGTCCTAGAATCTCCTGACAGTTGTTACAGCAGATCAGCTTAGGGTCAGTTATTGATTTTAGGTAGAGTTTTAATTTGTGTTTCTTTCCCATGCTGAAAGATTCTTTTTTTTTTTTTCTTCCTTTTCAGAGTAAAAGGCGGTTTGAACGTGACTGCAAAGAAGCTGATCGAGCACAGCAGTATTTTGAGAAAATGGATGCTGACATCAATGTTACAAAAGCAGATGTTGAAAAGGTAAGCCAGCGGGTGGAGAGGCTGTTTGTAAACATGAATGAATAGGTTCAAGTGCTCAGTCCCACTGGTAGTATAAATCTTCTGAGGCTTACTGCCTCACTGGCCAGTCCATGTGTTAATTAAAAAAGGGAGAGCTCTGCAGGGAGCTGTATTTGCATAAAAATTATAAACACACAGAGTTAGATTTCTTCAGAAAGATGGTGTCAGAATTTAACATAGCTGACATGGCTCTAAATACATTTATGCAAAATCAGTTTTAACTAACACCCCAGAGTTTTTGTACAGTCAATCTTGTTAGGGCTCCCTGCATCTGAATGTTTGCAGTTACCCAAACTTTGATTCAGGTGGACAAACTTCCTGCCTTCTTGAGCAACACCTCAAAAATGGCCTGATGCCATTGGCTGCAGTGACATAATATCAGGATTGTTGTTCAGAGACCTAGATTAACAGCAGGACAGCTTTTCATGTTATGGAGTACCCTGAAATCCCTGCCTGTCACAGATAGCACGTAGCTTTTATTTGTAAGTTGCTGTCTGGTTGCAGTCGCACGTGGCTTTTGTACATTGATTTTGTGAAGCTTTTGAACTGATGTCTAATTTTAAACATAGATTCGTGTTTCAGCATATCCATCTTGAAATACCTTTTCTTTAATTTAATTCAAAATTGGATGTACAGAAGGATGCTTTAAGTTTAAATGTCTCAGTCAAGTGAAGTACTTGTATCTTAAGAAACCAAGGGATAGGGAAAAGGTGTCTTCAGCTTTCTTCTCTTTTTGATGTTAGACATCTGCTCAGATAATTCAGTAATGTAGACCAGAAACATCCCATTGTAATATATAAGGATAGTATTCGCTGAAAAGTTTGATCGACATAGGAACAAAATAGTCAGAATACTTGAACAGGTTTGTTTCTTAAAAAAAAAAAAAGAAAAAAAAAAAAAAGAGCTGAAGTGTATATATATCAAATACTTTGTTTCAGAAGTGTGAAGTGAATCTTTTATAGTCCAAGATTGTCCCTGTAAGAAAAAAAAAAATATTGGGTTTTGCTCTTCAAGAAGTCTGCTTCATTCTCTACTCAGTTAATTCAATCCTAGGAAGCTATCAAATACAAATTTGCTCTACATTTGTGGGATCTTAAGAAGTTTCTAGTATGCTGAGCATCATAGTATCCAAATTGCTATTAGAATTGACAACAGTAAATGAAAAGACAGCTCAGGAAAATTTCCCAAAGTGTTACTGAATATTAAAAGGAACAAACAGCTTTGTGGTCTTGTCAATTGCTTGGCTGTTAGTTGTAAATTCACCCTGCAGATTTGATTATCTGTCACCTGGATTTGGCAGCGCACTTTACAGATGAATGAGTGCACAGGGTTGTCAAAGATGTAAGGCCACACACAATTTTTTTCTGGCAGACAAGGATCATCTCTGCTTTATCTGTATTAAATGATTTTAAAATACGTTTTTTCGCAGATGAAATTAGGACTTACCTGAGATTTTTTTTTCAAAGCTGAGGTCATGTCAAAGGGAATAGAGAGATGGCTCACTGTTTCAGATAGGGAGCTGGAACTCGTTAGTCCTACATCAGTTCCTAATGCTGGCCTTTTTTGGTCAGCGTGGAAGGATGCATGTTGGCAATGTGTCCCATAGATTTAGGTACATTCTGGGAAGCAATCCTTCCTCTGCTGCTCTTTCCCTGTAAAGTGGAGCAGAGGGGCTTCTCAGCTAAATTTTTCTAGTTCTTTAGTGTGTCTGTTTGTAAATTACTCGTTGCAAAATGAGGCTCAGTGGCATCTTGAAAGACAAAACTCTGCTGCAGCTCTGCGTGCTGGCTAATCTCTGGAGAAGGCATTAGTCGGCTTTCCAGCCAGCCAGTGGAGTAGATGGAGAAGGAAAAGGTTATCAAAACGAGTGGAATGTGAAATAATATTACTGAACAGAGAGAACAGTGTTTTCTAAGTGCATGTGTTAAACTGGGTTCATCCATGCCGGGCTCTGAATAATGCCCTTTCTTTGCTTCCCTTGGCCCACGTGACTGGCTCTGCCTTACATAAGGCTCCAGTGAAAATAGGATATTGTTCGCCCCGCGCTGCTGCCGGGCAGCTCTGCAGACCTGCTCCAGGGAGAGATGCAGAAACCCCGGGGTTTCAGTTGGAGCACTATGATGACTTTTCCCTCCTCCTCCTATTGCAGCAGTTCTGATTTCACTTGCCCCTTACAGCTTGGCAGCTGCGCTCTTGCTCCCAAAAATCTGTCTGGCCAGGAAAGCAGACGATTTGGCTGTGTTCGGAGCCAGTGCTATTCGCTTTGGCGGAACAAGGTGCTCTTCGAGCAGTGGGATCGTTTGTCCTCATTTCTTGGGCTTGAGATTGACACTTGGCTACTTCAGCTTCTACCTGCAAATATAAGCAGACAGTAGAGTTATATTTTGCATCGTGCATTGCAGGGTAACGGAATTAAAATTCTGCAGTGATCACAGTGACACATGCAATCAAAAGAATGTGCAACTGCCTGATGCACCTCATGCTCAACTGTATGAGGATCTGACGTGCTCTCATCTGTCAGTCTTTAAATAGTCGTAGCCTTTGACGACTGCAGCAAGAAATTCGGTGCTAGCGCTGCCAGCTACCAGCACTTAACGTGGCCTTGCTGAAAGGAGAGCTCTTGGCATTACAGTGTGCTACGATTAAGTAACCAGAATAGTGGCAGAGAAGCTAATTAGGAGTTACTTTTCTCCAGGACTGCTTGGCAAAAGAACAAAGGGCCTCAGGTGTGTGCTTCGAGGCAGGGCTGGATGTGCATGGACATCTTTCATGGAAACCCAAACCACTCCTGATTGCAGAGGGCAATGCTGTCTGTGCTGCTCCTATATCCAGCGTGGTTCCCTTCATGGGTGCAGCCAGCCAGCCTGGGGTTGAGCTGAGAGAGCTGGGTGTTTAGCTTTGCTTCCTCCTGTCTCCTTTTTTGGTGTTAGTACCGTGGAGCAAAGGGCTGTGCTTAGGTTTCGGCAAGGGTCACAGGCTTTGCAGGGGAGTGGGCTCCAGCACTCGAATTCCCCTCCCTGGGTTTGCACGGAGTCTCTGAAGTGCAAGCCGCCAGCATTTGTAGGGAGAACGTTGGTGTGAATGCAAAGCGTGTTATGCTCAAAGCTTTTGTCTGCTCCACTTAGCAAAGTCAGAGTTACTGTGTTGCGAGCAACTGCACCGCGAAAATATCCTCATAAAATAAATAAATGGTGGAACGTGCTGATGAAAACACTGGGCAGGCTTGTAGGTATCACTGTGAGCTTTAGCTTTGCTTGGATCGCACTGGGATGTGAGCTTTCAAAGCAGTTCTTTTTCAAAAAAAAACCACAGTGGAGTTGCTTCAATTTTTTGACCATTTGGGGAAATGGTCTCTGTCACCAGCGCAGAGGCAGTGTACTTATAAGGAAGTGCTCTATTGTTTGTTCCTTCTCTTTAGAGCTGCAATCACTAAAAAGCTGACATCTTTATGGGATAATGTGGTACCCAGCGGTGCCTTTGCAGACTTCTTGCAATAAAAAAAAAAAAAAAAAAAGAAAAACAGCTGGCTTCTCTAAAGGTTTATTTTCAAAGTGGGTTTTTCAGAATTTGTTTTTAAGGAGGAAGTGGTTTGGGGCCAACCGTACGAGGGGATGAATGCTTTTTGCATCTTGATTAGCACAGAAGTTGAGGGAGAGGGCAGCAGCTTGAGGTAGTCTGAGTCAGGCAGGACCTGTCCCTTTGCTGAAGAGTAGCACGGTTGTGTGTGGGGGTCCTAGGTGATAATTCTGCCAGAAAACAACTTCAGCTGTGAGCCCCAAAAAATGAGCTGGGAGTGAGTTCCCAGACTGCTGTCCTGAAGTCAGGGCTAATCGTGCTGGTTTATTTTTTGTTCCAGTTGTGTTTGGTGTGTTCCACCTTAAGTGGTTTTATGATTGATGTAAGCGTCTTGTAGGTTTTGAAAGTAGTGAGAGACTAAAAGTGCCAATTTGACATGAACTCTCACAAATCAAAAAGGTCCTAACGTTGCTCGTACTTGAGGTGGGATGTTTGTTTTGCTCCGGAGGTTTTGACTGACTTAGTTCAGTATCTCTTCAACCTACACTAATAAAGGCTGGGTGAATATGCTTTCTTACACGCTTACTGCTTACTTACCCAATTTTAATGCAATGTAAGGAGCCTGTGTTGTCCCCCCTTACCACAGCAGACGTCCATCTACATTGCACTGGAAAGTCATGAGCTGAAGCACTGGCAGAGTCGTACGGAACATAGATGAAGAAATACTGCTACTTAGAAAGATTCTTGGAATAAGCTGATCTTCCTGCCTTTGCGAATGCAGTTATACCGGCAAGTGTTAAACTGCTTTTCCAGCAGCCAGGCTGCTGCTGCTGCAGGACGCAAATCTCTTCATTAAGAATTTACACATCCTTACAATGAAGGATGAACTAAACTATTCTTAGTTAGGCCCCAGAGAAATCTCTCAGCTATGCTTCAGCATATCCATACACTGTTTGCAGCATGCTTCGTCAGAGGAGCATCAAGTCACAACGGAGCAGGATAGAGCGAGCATCGCTGAAACCCTGCATGCAAGCCACAAAGGAACATCTCCAGCTCGGTGCTGGATTGTTGCGAAGTGCGTCACTGAGGTTTTAGTCAATTAAGGCTGTCGGCAGTAAACTCTGCAGCATAGCCAGAGACTGTGGGTGCCCTCCTTCTGCACACCATGACTACTTAATGAGCCCAGTTTTTCAGGACCTGCTGAGTCATCTGCGCTGTGACAATTAGGCTTGTTGTATTCTTCCCCTGGCTTAGTCCGACTTGAGGCACCTACTGCCATACTGAACTTGTCAGCGGTTGGAAAATGTAGTGCCGTGCGAGGGTGATGGTAGAAGCTGGAAAACCTCGACAGTGTTTGTGTCAGTTAACACACGTGAGGTGGGTGAGGCTCAGTCCCAGACATAGTTCCGGAGAGCCCTGTGCATTTCTTACTTAGCTACACGCTG